ATGGAGTTCACCAGAGCTTCACAGGTTGCTGCTATTTTGAGGGGACGCCATATTTACACTGTTATACAAGCTGTATACTCACTACTTTACATTGTAGCCAAGTGTCATTTCTTCAGTGTTGTCACATGAAAAGATATACTTAAATATTTACAAAAGGTAAGGGGGTGTGTGCTCACTTCGGTGATATACTGTAGTCCTCGGCTTACTAACCATTTGTTGAAGAGCCGAGGTGGCGCAGTGGTTAGGGTGCAGCACTGCAGGCTACTTCAGCTGTTATCTGCAGTTCAGTGGTTCAAATCTCACCGACTCAAGGTTGACTCAGCTTTCCATCCTTCTGAGGTGGGTGAAATGAGGACCCAGACTGTGGGGGCGATATGCTGACTCTGTAAACCGCTTAGAGAGGGCTGAGAGCCCTATGAAGCGATATATAAGTCTAACTGCTATTGCTATAAGAAAGGTTGCCAGTTCCTAAATGGACATAATCTGAGCACATGGACATGCGGGCAGAAAAAGAAAGCTCAGGCACAAGAAGCTAAGTGACTATTAGGCTTGTAACATCACGTACAGGTTAGTCCTCAACTTACAACCTGTTTGTTTAGTGGCCGTTCAAGGCTACATCGGCATGGGGAAAAGTGACTTCTGACCATGTTTCACATTTATGACCACTGAGCATCCCCATGGTTGTGTGATCAAAATTCAGACACTGAATCATATTTATGACATTGGCCATATCCTGGACGGTCATATGATCACCTTTCACTAATTTTTGAGAAGCCAAGTCAATGGGGAAGCCGGATTTTCATGTAACAACCCTGTTAACTAACTTAACAACCACACTGATTCACAAAACTATGGCGAGAAAGATTGTAAAGCTCTTTCTGGCCACAATTTTAAGGCAAAATTCACTTGACAACTGTCTCACTTAGCAACAGAAATGTTTGGGCTCTACTGTAGGTTATAAGTCAAGGAGTGCTTATAGCCCAAGAAAGAAATGTTAGGCTTAAATAGCATTCCATGGGGCCCTTTACTCACCATGCAGAAACTCCCTTTGCCCTTCCTGAGTGGAGCTCCCGGAATGCAGCGCATCATCTCTTCATGGTCAAGAGAAATTTGATTAGCTCCACCCCCAGAGACATCACATCCTACCCCATAAAGGAAGAGAAAAGGGCAGGAACTTCTATCTGATTGCTACAAAGAGAAGGAAGAAGAATTTAAGAGTCATCCAACTTTTGAAAGGAGCGAAAAATATCGAAGAAAAATGGAAGGGAAAGAAAGGTGAAACACTTGCAACGTTGAGTAAAAGCAATATGAATGACATTTGACAGATTGATTTTTTCCCCCCTTCTTCACAAAAGAGGAGCCCTCAAATGAGAGGATTGGAAATTTAACACCCACGAGGGACTCTTTTTCAAGGAACTGGTTCACGAATATTTTGAGAAAAGCCCATACTTGCTGTAATTCTGTGGTAGTCATTTCATATCATCTGAAGCAAATTGCTGCCAATCCTCTATGCTTGCATGCAATACATGTAGTCCTCAAGTTACAGCTGTACTGGAGCCCAGAATGATGGTCATAAGTTGTGCTGGTTATTCAAATTCCTCCCCACAAAATCAAACTGGTCCCTGATACAATCAACAAAATGCTTTCTCCTTGGGTGACCACTAATTCCTAAACCAAGAGCTGTCCATAAGGTGCTTTTCAAAAGGCCACAGGACTTTCTTCATGGTTTTTCTCCTGGAAAATATTCTTTTTCAAGATGTTAATCCTTTTTTTTCTGAACTGAAGAAGCTTCTTGGATAAGAAGCGACACATTTTCAAGGAAAAAAAGCAAGAAAGTCCAGTTGCCTTTTGAAAAGCACCTTTGGGACAACCATGATCTCGATCGACAATTTCCATAGACAACTAACCTTAGAGCTGTCTACCTGAAGAATTACAGTTGCAGGAAAAAGTATGTGAACCCCTTGGGATTACGTGGAGTTTTGCATGAATTGGTCATAAAATGCGCTCTGAACTTCATCTAAGTCACAACAATAGAAAAACTCAGTCTGCTGAACATACTACTACACAAACACTAGATGTTCCATGGTTTAATTGAACATAACATGTAAACATTCACAGTGCAGGGAGGAAAAAGTATGTGAACCGTTGGATTTAATAACTGGTTGACCCTCCTTTGGCAGTAATAACCTCAACCAAACGTTTCCTGTAGTTGCAGATCAGACCTGCACAACGATCTGGAGTGATTTTGGACCACTCCTCTTCACAAAACTGTTTCAGTGTAGTAATATTTTTGGGGTGTCTGGTGTGAATCGCTCTCTTAAGCTCATGCCACAGCATTTCAATCGGGTTGAGGTCAGGATTCTGACTGGGCAACTCCAGAAGGCGTATTCTGTGCTGTTGAAGCCATTTTTTTTTAATTACTTGTATGCTTTGGGTCATTGTCCTGTTGCATCACCCATCCTCTGCGGAGCTTCAGTTGGCGGACAGATGGTCGTACGTTTTCCTACAAAATGTCTTGATAAACCCTGGAATTCATTCCCCCATCAATGGCAACAATCCGTCCAGGCCCTGAGGCAGCAAAGCAGCCCCAAACCATGATGCTCCCTCCGCCATGTTTTACAGTGGGGATGAGGTTTTGATGTTGGTGTGCTGTGCCTTTTTTTCTCCACACATAGTGTTGCGTGTTTTTCCCAAACAACTCAATTTTGGTTTCATCTGTCCACAGTATATTTTGCCAGTAGTGCTGTGGAACATCCAGGTGCTCTTTTGCAAACTTCAAATGTGCTGCAATATTTTTTTGGGACAGCAATGTCTTCCTCCGTGGTGTCCTCCCATGTACTCCATTCTTGTTTAATGTTTTCCTTATTGTAGATGTGTCAACATGTGCCAGAGATTTCTGTAGGTCTTTAGCTGACACTCTAGGATTCTTCTTTACCTCATGAAGCATTCTGCGCTGTGCTCTTGCAGTCATTTTTACAGGACGACCACGCCTAGGGAGAGTAGCAACAGTGCTAAACTTTCTCCATTTGTAGACAGTCTGTCTTACCGTGGTCACAGGAACATCAAGGCTTTTGGAGATACTTTTGTAACCCTTTCCAGCTTCATGCAAGTCAACAATTCTTGATCGTAGGTCTTCTGAGAGCTCTTTTCTACATGCTTTTGAACTGCTAGGTTGGCAGAAGCTGGGACAAGTAATGGGAGCTCACTCCGTTAAGTGGCGCTAGGGATTTGAACCGCTGAACTGCCAACTTTTCTGATCAACAAGTTCAGCATCTTAGCCACTGAGCCACCACATCTCTGAAACTGTAAAAGCCTTATAGAAATGGTGAATTAAATGCCCAACAGGATCAAACACCAAGAAACACTAATAGACAGTGTGCTTTATTTAGTACGTGGGATTACTCAAACTTCAAACTCCCCAAGCAGATGTGGAAGAAATAAACAGTAGCACTATCTTGAGCAACAAAGGAAATAAAAGGTTTTTAGGAAAAGTTTACATTTTCTTGCCAAGGAGATAAAATCTAGTTCACGTTAAGAAAAATGTTATGGTACATTTTCACTTCCTTTACTGAGCAAGAATGCTAGAAATAACTGGAGCTAGTCAAATTTTCTTTCCACGCAATTTCCAAGCTTCCAGTAAGTAGAGCAAGCGGTAGCAACAACAAGCCTTAACTTCAAGATTTAGGCTTTCCACTTACTTTGTTTTTCAGAAGAAATTTGTTCCTGCAGATCAAAATCTCTCGCAACCACTTGAGGATTTCTGTGCTGCTGACAATCTGATTGCTCGTTAGCCTCTTGCATATACAAAATAGCATTTGTGAACTTCAGGAACATGGAAATAAAAGAAAACAGACACAATCAGTTTATCAATCAGCGCATTCTGTACTGTCCAAGGCAACATTTTAAGGAACTTATTCACTGCAATAGTCATGACTAATGTTCCCTCTAAGCTGCGCAGCTGCGCGGACGCGTACGTAACAAGAAACCGCCGAGCAGCAGTTTCCAACTGCCGCACAATGTTTTTTAATGTCTTAAAATATGATTTAAAATATTCCCCCTCCCTCCTCTCTCTACACCGAACTCTCTCCTCCAGAGGGTGAAGTCAAGGAAGACTCGGCCCGGAGACCGATGCCGCTGCAGAAGGGAGAATTCCCATTGGTCCTCTGGGGCTTTGTTGGTTCCTGGGAAAATGCGATTCGCTGGTTTGTTGCCTGCATTTCTCTGCACATCCCGTGTTTCTCAGGCATTGTGTCGTCTGAAGGCCCATTCTGGGCTCGGCAACCTTTCTGCGATCCCTTCGCTTTGCAGAGAGAGGGAAGCAGCGTGGAGTTGGACTGCCTGAGCCAAAGGGGTCCACGGGATCTTGAGACTTGATTTTTGAGCAGTACCAATCCATTCCATTATTTCCTTTCTTTTTCTGTCCTTCTATCTTCCTTTCCTTTTCCTTTTTTCTTTTCCTTTTTCCCTTCCTTTCTCTTTTCCTTTCCCTTCCTTATTTCCTTTTCCCTTCTTTTTTTCTTTTCCCTTCTCTTCCCTTTCCCTCCCTTCTTCATCCTTTCCTTTCTTCTTTCCCATTTCCTTTCCTTTTTTCCTTTTCTTCTTTTCCATTTCCTTTCCTTTCTCTTTTCCTTTCTCTTTTCCTTTCCTTTCCTTATTTCCTTTTCCCTTCTTTTTTTCTTTTCCCTTCCCTTTCCCTCCCTTCTTCATCCTTTACTTTTCTTCTTTCCCATTTCCTTTCCTTTCTCTCCCTTCCCTTCCTTCCTTCCTGGGGGTCTGAGGGAGAGTTTTCCTCCTTGCTTCCCTCCCCAACATCTGCTCTGATGGCAATTATGGCTAAAAAAATTCAGGTGCTCACGCATGAAAATGTGCTGCTCAAACACAATACATTTCCGCACACACTGAAAAAAACATAGGGAACATTGGTCATGACGACAATGTACAATTTCCCCAATTCTGGACACTCTTGTCTGCCTCCCCTCCAAATCCTACAAACTGCAACAACTACCCCAGGAAAAAACTTAATGTGCTCAATTGCAAATTTTGCAGACCCAAAGCCGGGGCTCAAAGTTCTGAGTAGAAAATAATAGTAAAGGTAAAGGTTTCCCTCACACATATATGCTAGTCGTGATTCTAGGGAGCGGTGCTCATCTCCGTTTCAAAGCTGAAGAGCTAGCGCTGTCCGAAAATGTCTCCATGGTCATCTGGCCGGCATGACTCAAGGCCAAAGGCGCATGGAACACTGTTAGCTTCCCACCAAAAGTGGTCCCTATTTTTCTACTTGCATTTTTTGCGTGCTTTTGAACTGCTAGGTTGGCAGAAGCTGGGACAAGTAACAGGAGCTCATTCCGTTACGCGACATTAGGGATTTGAACCACTAAACTGCCAACCTTTCTGATCGACAAGTTCAGCGTCTTTGCAAATGTATAAATGTTTATACAAAACACTAGAAGGCAGCAGTTTCACCCATAATTCACACCAATATGTCAAGGGGTTGAGAATTGTTTCCGATAAGTTTAAGAGGTGAAAGCACAAAACATATCCCTTACAAGTTTTGAGTGCCTAAAAGATATCCTGCATTTTTCGTTCCTATGAAAAATTGGCAGGAGTAGCCATTATATAAATATTGGGTGCATATAATTTTGCATACTTTTAATCTCAGAAACATCCTTGTCAGTACCTTAAGAATGTGACAAGAAAAGGAAAAAGGAGGAGAAATAAAAGGTAACAGAGGTACTCCCTATTTTTCTTCTACAAGTTTGGAGTTCGTGTGAATCCACATTTGTAACCCTTTTAAAAATTAATTTCACCTCTTAATAGAAATGAAACACAAAAGGAAAGTCTACAAAATATGTTATTTTGGTTAAAAGAAAATAAACACAAACTCGATCCTCAATTAGCATTAAAGCATTCCATGTAGTATATAAATACCTACATGAAATTAATTCCGTTGCTAAGCTTGACGTTAAATCTATAGCAACGTACTTTGACATCTTCTCATTTTTAGAACGTAAAGGCTTTTCAGAAATAGGTAACCAGCAAAGCCATACATAGCTGTCCTCATAATATAGCTGTGTGGTATTGCAACTCACATCCCCCAGATCTAAGATGAGCATTCGGGGAGAAAAGTATAATGAAGAACACTACAACTGGTACACAAGTTGGATGGTTTTAGACAGAGAAAAACATATTACAGGTAGTCCTTGACTTTGCAACCATTTGTTTAGTGACTGGTCAAAGTTACAATGGCAGTGGAAAAGTGAATTATGACCGTTTTTCATACTCATGTCTGTTGCAGCATCCCTGTGGTCATATGATCAAAATTTGGATGCTTGGCAACTGGCATGTATTTATCATGGTTGCAGTGTCCCAGGGGCATGTGGTCATCGTTCTGACAAGCAAAGTCAATGGGGAAGCCAGATTCACTTAGCAACCATGTTAACTAAACAACTGCAGTGATTCACTTAACAGCTGTGGTAAGAAAGATCTTAAAATGGGGCAAAATCCACTTAACAACTGTCTTGCTTAGCCACAGAAACCTTGGGCTCAATCGTGATCGTAAGTTGAGTACACTTGTTCTAAAACACTGCATTGGTTAGCAAGCAGAATTTCGCCATTGTCCATGAAACATAAGCTTGGTGTGGATCCCAAATATTTTGATGGAGGTCTTATCCCGTGCAAAATTCCAGGATCCTAAGATGTGTTTTTAGTTTTTTGTCTTTAGGGAGATGGGACAGATGTCTATCAGGATCTTCAGGGGGCTGTTCAAAAAACAGCTTCTTTTAACAAATTATCTAATTTAGTTTTGTTTGGGAGATAATCTATGTAACAGGAATGTGTTTATCCCCATCTGAGACTCACCCCAATAGCAACCAGATTCATGATCTAGATCAGTGTTTCTCAACCTTGGCAACTTGAAGATGTCCGGACTTCAACTCCCAGAATTCCCCAGCCAGCGAATGCTGGTTGGGGAATTCTGAGAGTTGAAGTCCGGACATCTTCAAGTTGCCAAGGTTGAGAAACACTGATCTAGAAGTTCCTAGATTCAGCGTAACAGCAGATCTTCAGACTACCCTTCTCTAACCAACACAGCAACTGAATCAATTCCCCAACATCATCACACTTGTCCACTATTTCAACTATATAACTTATAGATTAGGATGCTTCCTGGGCATTGTACTTATTGATCTCTCTGAGGGATTCTCAGAAACTCCAATCTGATCAAAGAATAGCAGGATTGGCATTAATAGACACAGGTTAGCCTTGTAACACAGCTATCTGAAAGCACAAATGGGTGGCAACATTCAAAAGCCCAAAATTCTTTGGGTGCAGACCTCAGAAGAGGCCTTAGAAAGGAAGTAGCTGAGGGGGGGAAATGAAATTGCCTTCTCCATAGTTGTCCCCAAATTGTGGAATGGGTTGCTTCAAAAAGCTCAACTGGCACCCATTTGTTGCTTGTTTTGCAACAAAAAATTTGAAATGGATCCGTGGTACTTTGCAACATATAGCTTAAAAAAAAAAGTTAGGCAGTCCTTTGTTTCGGCACACAAGCTTTTCTCTATGGGGTCTTTGGTGCTCTTGTTACCCAACTAGGTAACATCGTAACATCACCATATGTAGTTTGCTAGTTTGCAGCAAAACCCACTCTCTTCTAAGTACTGATGATGTTACCTAGTTGGCTAATGAAATGTCTGCAAGAAAAGAAACAAGCTCAAAGAGGACCAAGGATCCCACAGTCCATCCTTGAGCTACAAATATTCTCCTCTGCTAATCTTTTACCTGCCATCCTGTTTCGTCTGCTGAATCAATACTGCTTTATTGTCCTGCTAGTCTATGGAAACACCATTTACCTGCAATCAATCTTAATCACTTCAATGGGATGACTAATGACTCAACTGCTGCTTTTCTACGCTTAAGAATTCCAGCTGTGATACAAAGTCCAGGAAAAGGAGTCAGTGGTGAGTCTGAACTGACCTGATTTCCCAGAATGTTTCAATGGGCGCATCAGGGTTCCACAAGTCAATGCTGTCTAATTGATGAAGCACAAGCAAGGCCTGGAAGCATAAACATACAAAAAAGAATTTGCATGAAATAACCCTGAATGGAAAATTTCTGCATCATGGGAATAAAAAGATTAGACCATCCTTCTTGTCCTGCCCTCAGGCGCTTTGGAGAATAGCTTGACTCCCTCTTCTTTGTGGCAGCCCCTGAGATATTGGAAGACTGCTATCACATCACCCCCTAGTCCTTCTTTCTATTAAACTAGACATACCCAGTTCCTATAACCATTCTTCATATGTTTTAGCCTCCAGTCCCCTAATCATCTTTGTTGCTCTTCTCTGCACTCTTTCTAGAGCAGTGTTGGCTAACCTTTTTGCCATCATGTGCCAAAAGCAGGGGGAACACTGGGGGGAGGGTCGAGGGCACGCCCATGCGCACATGACCCCCCCTCCCCCTGCTTTTGGCATGTGATAGCACGGTGGACCCGTTTTTTGCCCTCCCCAGGCTCCAGAGGCTTTCTAGGAGCCTGGGAGAGGCCAACAACAGCCTGCCACACTCCACCACAGACCCTCCGGAGTCTGGAAATGGCCCATTTTCCAACTTCCAGTTTGCGTGTTGGGCTGTTTTTTGCCCTCCAGAGCCTTCTGGAGGCTTCCCTGAAGACTCCAAAGGGTGAAAAACAGCCCAACACGCAAAGCAGAAGTTTGGGAACGAAGTTCCGGGTTGCCCGTAGGGTCTTTTATCTCCCTCTGGAGGGGAAAAAGTGGCTGAAAATGAAGGCTGAAATCAGCTGGCCAGCGCGCACATGCGCGCTGGAGCTGACAGGGCAACACCTCACATGCTCTAAGAAATGGCTCCCTGTACCACCTGTGGCACATGTGCCATAGATTTGCCATCACGGTTCTAGAATCTCAACATCTTCTTCACATCATGGTACATCAAATCTGGATGCAGTATTCCAAATGTGGTCTTAAACGGTAAATATCAATTCCGTTTCCTTACCTCCATGGCCTCTTGTGCTATTTCTGGCATGCTGGCCTGTGGAACAAGCTGGACGAGGCCTGTTATGAGTTCAGCTGTGCTGCCTTGTGTGTCAGGCCCCTGTTTCTTTGGATTCTGTATGAAAAGACAGAGACGCTGAAGCATTTCTTCATCAGTGAGGATTCCACAAACATGAAAAGAGCTACACAAAATACAGCCAAATTGGTTGAATTGGTTTTTGCATGACGTTTGTGATTAGTAGGAATCTCTTCAGATACTGTGACTTAAAAGTTGTAATTCAATATAACCTATTGCTGAAACTTGATCAGAATAAATCTGATCTGGAAATCAGAAAAATTAGATGGCTTGAATGTAAAGACTAGGAATAGATATCAGGATCTATATGGAATTGCTGCAATTTGCCTCGGATGGGATGCTACATCAATAATATGTGCCACAAATAAAAAAGAAGTGTTACAAATCAAAAGACAAGTATTACATGTTTTTTAACCTCTATTTCTGAGAATACATATTTGTTCCTTTTGAATTGTTTTGAATCTGGATTATTATTTTGAGTCTTTGCCACAGACTGTTTTAAGAACTTTGTGTGGATCTATAATAGGAGCTGGAATAAATAGGTAGAAATAAAATTGATGCTTGTTTCATTTGGAAAAACAAAGCCTTCCAACATGTGTGAAGTAACTTAGGTTCAATAGATGATTCTACCATTTTCAGCTACAATAACTCTTTCCTGCAACTGTAGATCCGTTGGGACAAACACAAAACAAAAAGACATTTCGTCCAGTACTAAAACAAACCATCCTGTTCCAAATTCTTTCCCCAGAGTCAACTTTCCATGAGATGGTGATTGATAACATGATTAATTTCAGATTAGCTGCGGAAGCTAAAACCCAGAACTTTTGGGATCTAGGTTTCAACTGAAACAAAATCTGGAGAGATCCTGGAGCGATTTTACAAGGAGAGGAGGGCTAGGTTGGCGATGGCACCTTTTCTTTTTCTCTCTTATTCTGCAAAGCTTGTGCGCAGCCTACGTGTCTCTCAATCAGTCCAGCACCTTCCCTTCCCTCCCTCTCTTCCTGCCTTCCTCCCAGCAGCTCCTCTGCAGCATAGCATATCTCACTATCATACCCACGGCGGAATGTCAATGCCTTCCCTTCAATTTCTGTCCCTCAAGGTGACTCTCACAGCCCATTACAATTTTCACTGACCAACATATAATGCTTCTCTAGGCGGGGTTCAAAGAAATTTGAACTTTTTCATTAATTTGTATAAATTTTTTCAATTGTTACTGTTTTTCTAATTGTTCCAAGGGTCAAGACTATTTTTATTCAGCACTTTCTGGATTTTGCATACTTTCCAGATCAGGTAGCAACAAATATCAATCTAAAATAGTCATCAAGTTTTAAAAATCTTTCAACGTGCTTTAACTTCTGCATGTTAGATTATGTTTATAAAAAAGTATATTTTTGGCAGAAGGACTGTTAAAAAAAAGCAATTATATATATATATATATATATATATATA